CGAGAAACGTCAGAGCCATCATGCCACACCACATCACCAATAGCGTCTTCGCACGCACAAGCCTAACAACCTGCGACGTCTTCGTCATGGCTCTCGCACACTTGGGTCCAGGAACAGCGCCATCACCAGAAGAACTAATCGCAGCAGCGAGCCCCTGGTTCCTGGACGCGGAAACAGTCTGGTGGCGCAAGTTCCTCAACGGCACAGGATGAAGATCAACTCTCTTGAGGCTATGCCATCAAATGCCATTTCCTGTTACTCGAATTGGTCAAATTGTCTCCGCTCCCCGGATACATTCGAGTCTAGTACGGTGCCTTCAACACAGCATGCACATACGTCTTCGTGCAATCACTCGCATTGCCCCTCCAGCTCAATACCTCGTTACTCAGCGCACCCTCGCATATCGTCCAGCCTTCCCTCTGGCCATCCACCGTCAAGAGGTATCCCTCGTCCAACGCGATATTGCCCGCTGGCTGCACCGAAGCGAGGAACTGCAACTCTGACCCGGCTGTCACAACCGTGCTATTGAAACGAGAATACGTGTTGCCGAAGGGCGCCAAAGCGATGGTGGAAAGTGTGCCGTCTGTCAGGGTGAAGTTAGGCAGGGAACCGTAACCGGGGCCTGTGAGGCGGAGGAGAAGAGCGGGTTGATGGAACGGGTCCTATGCGATGTTAGATATTGCGATGGGTTACTTCGGATGGTTGCTGTATGGGCTTACGAATAATGAGGTGGCGGATACGGCTTTGAGTTCAGAGGTATTCGCACTAGCATCTATTTGCGAGGTGGTGACGAGGAGGAAGTTGGTCAAATCTGTGGGTAGCGCAGCGCAGATGGATGCGCTCGCGATGGCAAAGGAGAGAAGAGATGAGAAGCGCATGCTTGATTGCAATAGCAGTAATGTCAGATCAAAAAGACACACAGATAACTTAAACAACGGCAGAAATGTCAACGAAAATGTTTCGAAACAAACGCCAACAGCGTCCCACCCCTCCCACCTATATACCTCCAACCTCTCACCCGCGACACCGGGACCGAAACCCTGCGCGAAGTAAAAAACGACGATCCCACGTCCCACAAAGTCCGCATGCACACATACCATCATAGGCCGCCGCGCGATCTATCAAGCACGTTTACGGGGAAAAGGTGTCAACCTACACTGAAGCTTTTGAGCCACCCAATCGCCCGCCGTAGCTCGCATCGACCCTGCCGATCAGCCTATGCGCATCCCTGCATGTACAGCTGGGAAATGCGTTTGTTAAGCTTGAGCTTTCGACGTCAGGGACCAACCAACGGGACGGGGATGGGTGGGGGATGCGAAACACAGGGCTAGCTAGGACTTTGAGTCGGCTGGTTTGCTGACGTGTGGAGAAGTGTCATTCGAACCACGAGTTGTAGACTTCGATGGTGGGCTGAGCAAACAATATTGCAATGTCAGACTTGGAATTGGGGAAGGTTGCCTGAGATTGAGGCATGGAAATGCTGTGGCTGGTGGGGGATCTCCACTGCGTCATCGCATTGTCGCGTGAGTAGCGTGGCCGTAAGAAGCCTAGTTTTGCCGGTTGGGTCCACCCAGCACTTGTGGCGACGCGACGGGGCTGTCACTGACGGTCGGGTTGTCAGGTCCGCTGGAGTAGATGGGGAGGAAGCTAGGTACGGAATACCATGTCAACACTCTTATGATAGTCTCAGGACAGTACAAGGGTATGGCGAGGATAGTCGGCGGCGCGTGACGCAACACCAGAGTCAAACATTACTGACCAGAAGAGAGCGGATTGGAGAAGGAACATTAGCATGTTTTTGTCCTTGTTTGCTACTATCAAAGGTATCATACAGAGTGCTCGACTGAAACTTGGGTATGCCGAGCGCCCGCCAACGCCAAAGTAAATGCCGACTTGAACGAATCGTGACCTGTGTCTTCCGCTGATGCACATTACCCTACTATCCTTATACTATGCCCTATCCTGTGATGACCAGTCCGTCTAAGCAGGAGTTGCGATTGCACCGTCGCCTAATACCCTCGCGACTAGGATGTATAGCATCATCGCTCCGAGGACCATCCTCCATTTGTTGCGGCTCAGCCAGCCTTGACCTGCATCGCGTGCTATTTGCGCTGCATCCTGAACAACCGTTGCGCTTGTGCCGGGGCGTCGTCGCAGGCCGGAGACGTCGGGCGAGCATGCTGGCTGCTGCGAAGGGGTTGGTGCTGCCGGCCGTGGTAGGCCCGTGAGGGGGTCGATGCGGTTCTCCTTCATCCACTTAAGATTCTCCTCGTCCACATCCGGCCACTCGTGTCTGAACTTTGCGCCGCCGTCTCCAGCCCGGATGTTGCCGTTCTGGCGACCACCGGCGTTGTCTGACCCAGATGCTTTGCTGCCACCACCTGTGCTGTTCCACCACCGTGTGCGCTTGGCGAAGAGTTTCCGCTCTGCTTCTGATGCCCGGACACTACCCGTAGTAATCTCGTCGCTGGTCATGAAACTCAGCAGGCCCGTTAGAATCGTGCTGACTTCCCATGCGGGGTTGAAGCTCTTAGGGTGGAAGTCGGAGATGCTGAGGCACAGCCGGCTACTGGGCTGGAATCGACCGGACGGTGTGTGCATGCGGATTGCGGGCGGCGCAAAGGGATAGTCGGGCGGGAAGTTCAGCGTGCCCCAGTACTGGCCGCCGTGGTAGGGTGTGTCTGGTGGGCCGGTGATGATGTAGTGCCATTCTAGGATGTTCCTATCCGAAGGGTGTGCAGTAATGAATGGCGGTGGTGATTTGGAGATGGAAGCGTATTCTCTTGTGAGGCGCTTGGTGGCTGCTGGCGTCGCCATGGTATGTGAATGTGGGGGAAGAGTGAGTGAGTGGGTGGTTGGGGTAGTCGACGTGTTCCTGGGCGGAGACAGTTGACGTCGACTATCGGATGCGCTGTATAGGTGGCCACCAGATAACAGTGCAGAAGGCGTGGCACGTTTTTCAGTGATTACCCCGCGATAGACAAAGGATAAGAATCACAAAGGCAGGCGCGATAGGTGAATTAGGTCGTTGGTGAAAGAGTTCGGGTCGCACGTCCAGACGACCTTGGAACAGTTGGAGAGTAAGCGCACGTGCATCCGCCGCCCGCGGCGATCCAAAGTTCAAGGTTTCTGAACAACGCCAAGCATCACGCACGCAGACACAGACAGCCCAATGGCTTCGCCGCATGAAGACGATGTGAGTAGGCGTGCATCATGTCAGTAACGGCACATCGCTAATTGGGCCCCAGGTCTTCGAAAGGCTCAAGAACAAGACGGACCTGAACGAGCAGAAGCGCCAGCAGGATGAGCTCAATGCGCGGCTCTACGCCCAGCAGCAGAGGTCGAAGGAGAGGATGGGAGAGCTGGTATGCATTCTGGACATTCAATTGGGGCTGTCGCTGAGGCTGTGCTAGATTGAAGACAACTCGTCCCTGCCCGTGACGATATCGTCGGTCCGCATCCTTCACGCCAACCGCACACGAAGAAGCTTCCTCGAGCGAGTAGTCGACCCCCTGCTGAGCGCAAACCGGGACCAGCCATACACTCTCGAAGATGCGATAAAGGAAGTTGGCGAAGCTACCGATAAGCTCAATCGTTTTGGTACGTCAGCACGCGACGGAGGGGCTCGCATTTGTTTAACATTGGCTAGGTATCTTTAAGTCGCCAATATCAGTCTACCTCGACCGTCCAAACCAGACCATCGCCTCCTCCTCCCCCACGGATGTTGACGTGTACATCTCGGCCCAGGAGCGCGGCAACTACACCATCAAGACCGGAACCGAAGCTGGAGCCTCTGAAGCCGATGCCTACGTCCACGCCGAACTTCGGAATCTGCTTGGTGGAGCCGAGACGCTGAACGCACACGGATCGCTGGGCACGCGAACACGGTCGGCCTACTCCCTCGCCTTCGACAGTCCCATCCTCAGCAACCCCGATCTCAAGTTCCAGGTCAACGGATTCGCGAGTTCGACACTGAAGAGCTGGGCAAGCCATGAGGAAGTCCTCAAGGGAGGAAACTCAAAGCTACTATGGAGGATGAAGAACGGTGCGACACACGAATTTGGCTACTCTGGCATCTGGCGACAGGTGACTAGTCTGGCTGAGAACGCATCGCCCTCTGTTCGCGCAGATGCTGGTGACTCATTCAAGTCGAGCATCTCGCATACCTGGGTCAACGACAAGCGCGACTACCCTCTCCTGCCTAGCAGCGGCTACTTCTTGAAGACCGTATCCGAACTCGCAGGTTGGGGACCGCTGAAGGGCGACACCGCATATTGGAAGACAGAGGCAGAGTCGCAAGTCGCTCTCCCCTTCGGCAACACAGGCATCACGCTTACTGCTGGTCTACGGGGTGGACTTCTCTACCCCATGGCTTTGGGCGGGGAGAGCCAGCCCCAGGCCTCGCGCATCAACGACCGCTTCCAGCTCGGCGGCCCCAACAACGTTCGTGGCTTCCGCATCGCTGGTCTTGGTCCTCGTGACGGCGCTGATGCACTAGGTGGCGACATCTACGCTGCTGGTGGCGCATCGCTCCTCCTCCCTATCCCGCGCGTCGGCAAGGAAACTCCTCTCCGTCTCCAAGCCTTCATCAACGGTGGCCGTCTCCTCGCACTCAAGAACCCCAACTCCAAGAAAGAAGACGGATCATTCGGCAGCTCAAGCGACGTAACTGGCGCGATTCAAAAGTCCTTCTCCAGCCTCACTGCTGAACTCCCCAGTGCGGCAGCTGGTCTAGGTCTCGTCTACGCACACCCTGTTGCAAGGTTCGAGATCAACTTCTCTCTACCACTCGTCATGAGGGCCAAGGAGGAAGGCAGGAAAGGACTGAGCTTCGGCGTCGGCATCGAGTTCTTGTAGACACGGATTCAGGCGTGTAAATGTGTATTTGTAGGCCGTATAGACTTCCTTCTCGAGCAAGCAGATCACTTCTTTCTCAATCATTCTCATGTTCATATGTCTCTCGCATTCAGTTCAAAAGTCTACCTCTACAACTAAAAGATCTAGCTCCCCACCAACTGCGGCCCCTCGAACACCTTCTGCGGATCATACACGCCCTTAATCCCTACCAACCTCTCATAATGCTCTCCCCAATACCTCGAATGCGCATCCGCCTTGGTAAGGTTTGTATCCGCATAATTGATATACATGCCAAACTGCTCGCCCTCGCTCGCCTTTTCAATCGCATCGACCCAGCCGTTCAAGAACTCCATCATCTTGGGCGTGTACGTCGCGCTGTCGGGGAAAATGCGGTCGTTGAACTGCATCTTGAAGACGGCGTTGCGGTGCGAGTACGAGGTCTCATCCGCGGGTACTTTGGAGATGGCAGAGCCGGAGCCGCCGTGCATGTCGATGAGGAGGTACCATGAGCGACCCCGGATGTTGCGCGCGGTGGTGAAGTAGTAGTCTGCGAGGGCGGTCATGGCGGCGGGCGAGAGGTACTCCGGCATGAGGGACTTGGCGTAGAAGTTCTCGTGGTAGTCGTATATTTCTGGTTGGGGCAGCGGGCCGTTGGAAAAGGAGGTCAAAGTGTCGATCCATTTCTTCGCTGAAACGGTACCTGCGCCGCGTCCCTCGAGCGGGATGTTGAGTTTGGTAAGCAGCGGGTTCATGATGGTGTCGAAGGCGCTGCGGTTGCCGTAGTATACGCCAGTTAGTTGGTTGGGGAGGAACATGCGCATGTTTAGCTCAGGTGGTTGATCGTGGATGGTGAAGTTTTGGAGGACGGTCAGGATGTTGGCGAGTTGCGATGTGTTGGATGGGGAGAGGTTGTAGGAGAATACGAGGTTGCTTTCGGGGGCGTCAAACGTTTTGAATTTGAAGTCGGTGACGATGCCGAAGGCGGCGCCTGCGCCTCGTAGGGCCCAGAAGAGGTCGGGGTTGGAGGTCGGTGACGCGGTTACTACGCTGCTGTTGTGGAGGACGACAGTTACAGAGACAAGTTGGTCGAGAGTCAGGCCGTGCAGGCGAGAGGACATGCCATAGCCTCCATGAAGAGTGAGACCGCTTACACCAACACTGGAAAGTGTTAGTACATATATGGTGTTGATGATGAGGATGAGGACCTACCCAGGACATGTTCCGTGGCTGATGGCTTGCTTGCCTTGGTCGTAAAGAGCCAGAGCAATATTACCCAGTCTCCCACCAGCTCCAATAACAGCTGTGTGCGCTTCTTGATCAACAGTCACGCTGTTGAAGCGGCGCATGTCGACGATCAAGTGTCCATCTTCTCCTCCAAGACCATGTGATCCATAGCTGTGGCCTCCGCACTTCGGAGTAACTTGGACACCACTCTCAACTCCGCAAGATACAGCATCTTGAACATGTTTGACGGTCTGTGGTACGACGTAGGAAGCCGGTTTGAATGGTAAACGAAGATTGAAGGGCTTGACCGCCTGAGTATAGTTTTTGGTGCCTGCAGCATATACAGGAACCTGGCGAGACTCAAGGCATTCGCTCAATGTGGAATTCGCAGCGGTAGTGCAAGAAAAGAGAGCGCAGGCTGCAAACAGCCATGTGTAGTATTCTTTCATCATTCTGGAAGTCGGAAAGTGGCTTGGCTGCCCAGGAAAAATTCATCCGCTAACGTCCTCGCGATACTTATGGATTGCTTGAATCCTAGAGGTGGATTCTGATGATGAGATACATATTGACCCAATACACTACGGCTGAAGACCCAGAAAACATGTCTGACCAGGAGACATGACTGCGATGAAGGGATGAGAATGCCCAGAGTGGAAACCTTGCTCTTTCCTTGGATCCTTCGTCGGAATCGTGGGGATTCCAAGAGGATTTGGTACTGGTAATAACAGATCTTGCCTCCATCGCAAGACAACTTCCAAGCTACGGCTATACCAAGAAGCGGTGGCTTCAGCTTGATTTACCTCTTGGCAAAGATTGGTCGCAGAAAGATTAAGAGATGCCACCTCGTCTATACCCACACACGTGTCCAGGTGCGCTGCAGCCGCATCCACGTACCGACATAGGGCAGCGGCGTGGCGGCTGCATTCCCGGTATAAGGCCTGGCCAAGAGATCTTAACATGCGCGTGCCCGAGATGAAAGACCGAAATGCAAGGCTACTGCAATTTCGCCATGTTGATCAACCTGGGGTCGGCAACCGGCTGAAACGTTGTACCCCTGCTCGAAACATGGCTGTAGATTACTATATATTGTCCGACGTGCGGCCTTTAACCGGCTTGGACAATCGCATACTCACCGAGGCTGAAGTGGCACCCTCGCTTTCAGCAAAACGCATGATGGAGTCGGTTGTTTAGTCCAAGAGGGTGTAGTCAGGTGTTTCATCGGCGTAGCTCCGAAATGTCGAGTGCGGGCGCGTGACGCAAGGCGGTCTGGTGGAAATGTCAAAGAACACACGTCGAACATACAAAACGATGCTACTTCCCTGTGCTTCAAAGTCAGTAACAGATACATCCTGACTCGCAAACCATCATCATCATGGTCCATTCGCATCCACTCCTTCTACCGCTGTTCGGCACGGCCGCAAGTGCGGCAAACTTGTGGGCGACGCACTACTCCGGCACCATCAACTACCTGTCGTTCAACAGCAATGCCTTGACCCTCAGTAGTTCAGCCTCTACTGGCAACAAGCTGCCTAGTTGGATTACGTATGACAGTGCTGGAAAGGCGCTCTATATTCCAGATGAGGTCTTCCAGGGCCAAGGAGGCGGAAATTTGGTATCCTTCTCCACGGGTGCGAACGGCAACGTCACATCCATCGGAAAGGGCTCTACACCTCAGGGTGTGGTTGCGACAACGCTCTATGGTGGTCCGGATGGAAGAAGTTTCATCGCGAACGCCCACTAGTAAGTCAGCACCCTTGAGTAGACGAGAATGTTACTAACCAGCAAAAGCCAAACTTCGCAGTTGACGACCTTCAAGCTGCCATTGACTGGCGGACAGCCGCTTCAGACAATCAAGTACACTGGTAAAAGTGTCAACCCTTACCGACAAGAAGCTCCCCACCCGCATCATGCTTTTGTGGACCCGTCTGGCGACTTCTTGATCGTACCTGATCTCGGAACCGATAAGATCAGGATCAACAAGATCGACCAGACAACTGGCAATCTTACAGAGTGCGGTGCTGCTTTGCCGCCACCTGGAACAGGACCAAGGCACGGCGCCTTCTGGGCACCGGCAGGAGCGAACTCGCGCGTTCGCCGGGCTGCAGATGGCACAGTGCTCTTCATCGCCAACGAGCTCTCCAACAGCGTGTCGGCATGGGCGGTGTCATACCCTGCATCGGGAGGCTGCATGTCTCTGACCCTGAAGCAGACGCTCACACCTTACCAAGGTAACGCCACCGCCGTTTCCGGTACCAAGGTCGGCGAGATCAAGGTCAAGGGAAACTTCGTTTACACCAGCAACCGAAACGACAAGAAGTTCAGGCCAAATGACTCAATCACCCAATTCACCATCTCTCCTAACGGAAGCCTGACATGGACTGCCCTCACATCGTCCTACGGCACATACCCGCGTACTTTCGACATCAACAAGGCCGGTGACTTCGTCGCCATTGGCGATCAGACCACTTCGAACGTGGCTATCGTACCAAGAGATCCGGCGACTGGCAAGTTGGGAGAGCGCGTTGCGGACCTTAGGATCGGGGCTGCCGGCATTCCGGAGAACGAGGACGGTCTCAGCGCGGTTGTCTGGGCCGAGTAGGCGTCCGCTTGTTGATCATTGGGACTTCTTGTATATACAATAACTTTCGTATAAATCATAGGGTTGCGCAGGCTGATTGCGATTTCACGATGACGCGTTCGTCTGCAATGAGGGTGTGAAGAAGGAAGAGCGCGTGGAGCTTGAGTGTTGCCAAGACGCTAACCCGGGTGCCATTTCCTTGCGCGTCAAGACTCACACTCATGCTTCCTTGTGCATCCAGAACACGTCTTACTAGCTGCCAAATACGACTCTGTTATCAGGTTCATCCCGAAGAAATCCAAAGATCCGCAGTGCTCACTCGCAATACCAGCCTCTAACTGCATCTCATCGAAAGTCCAGTCATACCTGCCGTCCATCAAAATGAAGACTGACAGTTACCTTAATCTCTGCCTCGAGCAGGCCGCTAAGTCGCCTTTGCGCTACCGCCATGGGGCAATCATAGTCCGCGGCGGTAAAGTCATTGGTCAGGGCTACAATGATCATCGCTCTGGCTTCGACGGTGGTGCCCTGAAGACCGGGCGCCTTCCATTGCGCGCGACGAAGCGAGAGATAGGTGAGCCGAAAGGTCATGTGAATAAGACGTTTACACCTTTTGAAAGCATAGGTGGTGGAGGAAAGCTCGCCAACACTCCGTTGTCTATGCACAGCGAAATGATGGCGATCCACTCAGCTCTCTCGGCTTCCAGCACGCTGGCTTCTAGCGCGGTGTCCTCCGAAAAACCGTGCTTTAAACTATCGGGTGATTCTAAACGAAAGTCACGACTACGAAGGGAAGCAATCAACTCGTACGTCAAAGCCATCTGCGAGGCGGCACTGGCCCAGTCCACCGCGGCCTCTGGCAGTGCCCAGTCCGGTGTTCAAGAGTGGCGATTTGAATCCTCTGCATCTGGATCGCGCGAGACTGAACCTTGTGTTTCACGACCAGGAGAAGAACGAGAACGTGGCCTTATCGGAAGTGAACAGTACGGAGAAACACCGCCTGAAGAACGGGAAGAATCATCATCACAACGTTGGCAACAAGTACAACAATGGACAACACAAACACAATGGTCGACAACATGCGCGTAAGCAGACCATTGCAGCTCCGTGCTATAATCGGACTACAGCTTCGAGCGGTTTTGAAGCTTCTCCGTCGCCGGAAGTGCCATTCAATAATCGTGATAAAGCCGGGAAGGTGCGTTTTCCAAGCTCTGTTATCACACATGCTGACGGTCATAGAATGAGAGACAGAATCCCCCAACCGCCAGGAGTCAGCCAATGCTCATGCCGAAGGGACAGAATGGACAGAGTTCTCGCAATCTCAAAGACAGGACCAAGAGCCCACGTTTGAATGGAGCCGATCTGTACGTCGTAAGACTGGGCTGGCAATGTGCGCCGAAGGTGTGCCGGGAAGAGCCAGACGAAGACGCCGCAACGCTACCTCCATCGCGCCCTGCCACAGGTTCATTGCACGACGAGCTCACCAGTCCAGAGCCGGCGAAGCCAGCACGCACCAAGCATCCGCCGTCTCCAACAAAGGATGAGAAGCGACCGACCGTCCTGGCTTCCCGACCCTGCTACCGATGCATATCCTACATGGCGTCTGTGGGCATCAAACGCGTTTTCTGGACCGATGACAGGGGAGGATGGGAGGGCGCAAAGGTGCGTGATCTGGTCGATGCGCTTGACAACATGGGGTCTCAGTCGCCTACTGGTGCTTCGGCGGCACTCAACAGCGTCTTTGTCACAAAGCACGAGGTGCTGATGCTGCGCAGGATAATGGGGGACAGCTAAATCCGGACACACCGTATACTATGATGACAACATACAGCTTCCGATGGCCTCATGTGTGTCTTCATCGCGTTTGTGCTCCCAGCAAGCGGCATTCAAGATGGTTAACTCTATAGCAAGCGGATGCTCCATATACAAATACCTAAGTGTCTCCCAGCAGACTTGTTCCAATTTTTCAAAGCACTATGGTTGAAATCCACAAGATCGAGTTTGTCGACAGCTGTCCCGTTCTTCCCTCGACTGCTCCACGTAATTGCCCTCACATCATCGACCTGGGTTCCCACAGAATAACCGAGGGCGATTTTGTTACAGATATCCAGATACAAGATGCAGTCGTCACGGTTCTTAATGCGGTCTCCAGCGATACTCTTCTGAATTTCCTCGCGTCTACGGGGACATTCCGAATCGAGTTTGAACCCAGATTCGAGCCTCGCGGTGCTCGTGTTATCTTCATCAAGAAAGGAAACCACGTTTTAGTAAGCCACGACTCGTCAAAAACTGTAAGAATACACTTCACTAACAAGTTTTGTTCAGATCGGTCAGTATACCGTTGATGCAGCACGAGATATGTTTGACTTTAACATAATTATTCGTTTTACTATCCAAAAGAGCAGAGCCTGGACGGTTACGCATGCAGCTTATCGCGACTGCTTCCCACAGGACTGGGACGAAGTCTGGGCGGGAAGGACGACCAATGATGACTTCTTGATCGCTTCCCACAGGACTACGGGAGGAGACGCAACGAGGGGACCTCTGCTCAGGAAGTTCGCTGACTGCTTGTTGGTTGGAAAGTATTGGGACACTGCTCGATGGACTTGGACGACCACTTTTGGCTAGAGACACGTTGTTGTCAGTCAAGTAATTGAGTACAAGAGATATCGCGGTACACATTTTGGATGCCGGGAGCTTTAGTTGGGTCTTCCATGACTTCACCGTTTCACGGATAACTCACATTACTTCAGTAAACCGTGATCTTGGGGTATTCCCATATCTGACCGTCTTCAAATTCCTCAGAGGAAGCTGTCAAAGATTGGACCGATACATCAATATTGAACTCGCGTCTAGCCATACGAGTGTGCCTGCCTAATCAGGCTGCCGAGTATTTTTCTTTTAGGGGCCAAAAACATAACTGATTCCGATGATTGACCGAAAGTGGAGAATCCTCGCTCACCTCGACTTGCGCGTACTATCATTGCCGTTTGTCTCTTCCCTTTGTGGTCCAAGCTTTTGGTACGAAATCAAAACAATCTTGAACCAAGATTTCCTTCCTACACCACACACGACAACCTCAGAAATCAGACACGATGGTATCCGCTACCAAATCCGACGGCACTTTTTCCGAGCCCGTCCATCTACTCGATCGCCTCCACGATGGTCACGACAATGATCACGACGATGGTAACGACGCAGGTGTCGACGATGATTACGAGATCGGTGAACCCAGTCTCCTTCCCGTACCGTTCCTCAACGTCTATGAGCATTTGCCTGCCAGTGCATCCGCAAACCACCCGCACATCATTGATACAGACCTGTGCAAGCTGGAATTCTGCGACGAGGCCGCAGTCGCCACTGTGCTCTACAAGATCTCGAAGGACACTCTGGGGCAGTTCCTCGACAAGCGCACTACATCTTTCAAGCTCATCCAGTGGAGGGAAGGCCCCCTCAACAATGAATTCAAGCTCGTCATTTGGAAGGAGGGAGCTCAAGTTCTCGTAAGTGGTGGTACCAGACACACTTGAGATCTCATTGCCATGCTGATAAATTTTTTCCGTTCTAGGTAAGCTCATACCTTGAGCACGTCGAGGAAGACCTTCTAGAATGGGAAAGCGTCATTCGTTGCACTGTCAACTCTGATGGCTCTTGGAATCTCATTTCGGCCACCTCTGCGGGTAGATCTACTAGACGAGGGCTTCATCATGTATGGTCAGGCAAGTTCATTCGGACCCGCTGGAGCAGCGAAATCGAGCGCAACGCTTGTGGCACAAAGGAAGAGTTTGCCCATAGTTTCGGTGAGGGCATGATCAACTTCCAGTGCTGGGATGGCGAGATAAAGACCAAGTGGGACATCGCGACCACCATGGCTCTCTGATACATCTTCGTCTTCACGGAGGGTGCAGTACCTACACTCATCTCCGCTGGCTTACACTTATGCACGAGCTTGGAAGAGGAGGCAACTCTGGTTGAGCCTTTGTTCAGATGAGCTGCCTCATTTACAGTTCAGAGTACCGTGGTAGTCTACAGCTTGAGGATTTATTATCACAAAGCTGTCATCAACTCTCATATGTGTTCTGGTGAGCCTAGATTTATTCAAGGCCCAACAGTGGCTTTGCTCCCAGTATTTATGAGCTACGAGGGCAAGTTTCAATGGTGGTCGCTCTTTGATCTCACTTTCGCTTTGTCAATGCAGGCTAGACCGAGCTCGATGGTACTCTCTTTTCTGCAACACGGCAACTTGCTCCAAAGTCTTGCAACTTGTAATCTCAGGTTACCACAGACATGTGTGCTAATCGGTACGTCACCTCTTTTCTCACCGTCGCACCTTCCTCCGGCTCTCACCGACCTCGCCCGCTAGCGCTAATTGTGTGGCCCGCATGGCAAACGCCTACGCGCTTCACATAGAGCAGCTTCTTCACCCATTATCTTTCATCGATCCTCATCAGACTTCATGCTCACCATTCCTCTTTCATAGATCTCATCGCTCACCGGAAGCTAGCGTGCCCAACTGTTGTACTCATACATCTTGTACCATGCCGGTAACTACGAGATTCAGACGCTTGCAGCTACAACCTTCTGACTCTGACAACCACCCCGAACAAGACACACGAGATCTCTCACAACCTGTCAACCGCACCGCTACAATGACTACTCATCACGACAGCACTCCTATGGAGATCGACATCGAAACCAGCGGTCTTCCATCCCCGGCTGGCACCGACATCCGTCCCGAATCGCCGGGCAAGAGTGACTCTGGCAAGAGCGATAGCAGTACATCTTCATACACGGATGACTTCGAGACCTTGCCATCAAGCGGTCCGGCCAGCCACGCTCATATCCTCGATCTCGGCGAGTATGCTGCGTCTATGAAAGAAGGTGGGGCGCTCAAGCTCCAAGATGCTGTTGTCACCGCTCTCTACAACGTCTCGCCTGCCACTCTCAAGTCATTTGTCAGCCCGACCGTCAACACCTTCAAAGCTGTATTCGGTAAGAAGGACGTTCAGCTAGTCATCTGGCGTAAGGGTCTAGAGGTCTTCGTAAGTCATCACATGAACCTCCAAGCAGGCAGTCGCTGACACCTCTCTAGATTGGCACCTTCGAGCACCACACGTCAATGAAGGCGTACCGTTTCGAGCACGTCGCCGGCTTTCTCATCGGCTACGATGGCTCTTGGCACCTGAAGGTCACGGCGAGCAACGCGTACTGCGCTCCAAAGTGGCCAGATGTCTGGGCGGGCAAGTTCGAGTGCCATGGCGGCGTCGCGAAGATGACCATCGAGACTCAGGAGATGGAGATGGCGAAGCGTGCTTCTGCTTTGGCAGCTGCGATGATCAGTGGTAGATACTGGGAGCTGAAGACGGATGTCAAGATGACTTGATGCGAAGCCGGCATCATTGAGCGGAATCGGTCGGAGTTGTTTGGAAGGATATAATCTGGGATCTATTTGATGCGTAACATGCGATGTCTCGAGACCTGAAGGCTTATCAGCAGGTAGTGAGCGACTACTATATTGCCACGACGGGGATGCTGTATAGTGAGCGAGCTTCACTACGATAAAGTCAGCCGGGACGATCTCGACTGGAAGACGAGATGTAATAAACAAAGACACAGCTATCAGCAATCATGTTCCCTGCTTATAATTCTATCTTGAAGCCCTCCCTCATACCTTGTGTGCACCATCTTCTTCCATTTCGAAAATTTCCGACCTCACCTTTACCTCTCCAACAGCCTACATCGTCCACTCTCAAGGCCTTTGAAACCCACAGCACCAATCATACAGCTCCTCCAATCCCCCAATACTCCATCAAATCCACTCTCAGAGCCCATAGTCCAACGGTAAGACACCCACATCTTAAACCGCGCAGGGCTGCCATCGCATCGTCTCAGCGTGCGAACGAACAAGGCTGAGAGACCGTCTGAGCTTCCGCCAATTGAATTTCAAATCCTCGGGCTGTGTGCCCAGTACACAGCCTAATCTTATGAGCTTCGCCAAGTGAAAGCCGATGACAGTTTTCGAATCCAAATTCCGCCTCCGCCAAAGATGACCGATAGCACACAGCCTTGCCGAGATTGTGGGGGATCCGCGTTCAAGTCGCGGTGGGCTCATTCCTTTTCTTTCTTTTTGCTGTAGGTTGAAGGATATGGTTGGGGTGGTGGTGTCCTTTTTGTTGTTGGGTGGTCCAGATAGGTAAGTGTAGAGATAGAGGCGGTGGAGTAAGAGGCGGGTGAGTTAGTCCCAGCGAATATCGACCGCTCCAAACGCCTACGCACACAATTAGCATTCATCTTTTAACATCCCTTTTCTCTACGTACCAGACCCATGACCGCATACTATTCAAGCCCTCCAACTCACCCCTCTTCCATCAAAACAGCAAGAGCCCATGGTCCAATGGTAAGATACCCGCTGCTTATATGTCGGCCGACCAAGATCGTTTGAGTGTGACGAACACCAAGATATGACCAAGATTCTTACTAAGATTCTGACTAGGAGTCCTACAAAGATCCTTAGAAAGAATCCCACCAAGAATCTCATACCAAGATCGTGAGAAGCTGACCAAGATTGCGGGAGATCCGCGTTCAAGTCGCGGTGGGCTCAATTAATTTTTGCTGGGTGTTCGCGTCATGTGTGCTGTAGGTTTACTGCCCTTCTTTTTTGTCGTAGATGGGTAGACGGAAGCGGTGAAGTTAGAGGTGGGTGAGTATATGGAAACGCATATCGAAACCTGGCCGTCAACAAGCTTCTAGAAATCAAGAGAGGATAGCAATGAGATTCATTGTATCCAACAACAGTACCTAATAATAACATGCAAAGTCGCGAGCGTATCCAATCCGCTCAAACGATCAACGCGGTGTATCCAACAGCATGTCTATCCCAAACTCCACTCGTCAACGCCGGTCGTCTAATGCATATGCCAATGCGAGTAAGCAAGCTCAATGCGTGAAATCAACGAATCACCAACTCCCAGGTCCAAAGGTTTCGCCTTTGGGTACTTCCTTGTACGGGCAGGCTTGCCAGTCACAGCCCTTTGGATAGTGTTAGCACGTGTATGCGATAAAGACAGCTTGTATGTGGCTGACTTACCTGTTTGTAAACTTCCGTACCCCACCACTTGAAGTTACTCATCCAACCGGGGTACACAATGCCAAAGAAGATGACCACAACACCAAACGCAAGGCCGGAGTCCAAGGCCGCGCTAAGCATCATGTTGTACTTCTTCCACCACGCGTTCCTCCGGTTGCGAATCTCGTAGTTGAAGATGTAGCACACAATCGCCCAAACGGAGAAGTTGAGTCCGGTGGCCGGTGGAATCCAGCTCAAGCTACCGAACACGACGGCGAGGTTGACTTTACTGAGGATGGACTTGCGGCTGCCGCGGGCGAGGTACCAGAGTATGACGGGTGCGATGGCGCCGATGGGGAAGGCCCAGATCAAGTGTTGGTAGAGTGCGCCGGGACCGAAGAACTTCCCTGGTCCGACGACACCCCAGAGGATACTTCCGTTGAAGTGAACGCGGGCGATGGGGCAGTTGAAGCCGTTGATGGCTGAGGGTGTGCAGATGCCAGGGATGTTGTTCAGCATCCAATTGAGAACGCCGATCTGAGTTAAGCTGGAGATGATGGTGACGGAGAGTTGGAGCTTGAAGAGGATTCTAGGTGGGATCTTCATGTAGTGACCGAGCTTGAGATCGGAGGCAAACTTTAGGCCTTGGGTCGCTGAGATGTAGCCAAAGGTCGTAAAGACCATGTTTGCGACGGGTCGACCGGGGAACACAACACCGCAGATTAGCTGGCAGATGAGATAGATGCTGCTTTGTTGGTTCGTGATGGCCATGACGATGCCGATAGGGACGAAGAGAACGGCACCGATGCCAAGTGCTAGCAAGAGACCGTACCAGGGTAGGTGGACAGGATAGTACTCGACGACGAACATGCCGACAGCAGCCATGCTGATGCCAGTCAAGAGGTACCAGGTTATCGGCACATCTTCGTATTTGCGCATGAGTCGATTGTGCACATCTTCCGCAGATAGCAGGTCTTCCACGTCTGGGTCTGAAGTCGTGCTGGGCCTGTGTCGCAACATTGCAGGTGAGGAGGGGTGGCTGTTGTTGTCGGTGCCATTCACAAGTGGCTGGTAGTCAGCTGCTGATTCTTTTCGGATCTCGGCCCAAGAGCGACGCCATTGCCTCCAGATATCCTTTCCGTACCAAAGGCCAGTGTGCGAAAGCAGAGCTGTAAGACCAGCGAACTGCAAGGCGTAGCTCAATACGTAAGTAATCGGGAGGTAGACGCGGCTGTATTGCTTGTACGCTTCTTCGTCGAAGAGGAAGTTTTCGGTCAAGATCTTGCTGACGTCGTACGGCTTGCCGCGATTATCCCATACGGCGGATGAAAGGATGGGCATGTAGGAAGAGTAGAGGACGTTCTTGTAGTCTACAAGCTGTCAGCACAAGTAGCCAAACCTCCTGAACTACTTACACATGATTGGTGCTGCAATCCACATCACGCCTACAAGGCCTCCAAGAATGTTCATAGCAGCCCAGAATGGTGTAATCAACGGGGAGCCGATGTATGCGATTTGCGCCCAGTCGAAAGTCACTGGGAATAATCCAAGACCAGATGAGATTCCGAACTGCTCAGGTTAACACACTGTCTACTCAGACAGGCAACAAAACGTACCAGGTTGGCAACAACAACGCTCTTTGGCGCGAACCAAGTGATGACATTGAAATAACTCAATGCTGGGAATAGAAGACCGGGTAGGAAGTAGAATGCAACGGATCCCATGAATATGCGCGAGAAGAACTTGCGTGGAGCGATGGTCCAGCCATCGGCAGGCTTGTTCTCATCTTTATGTAACGCGGTGAACATGGCGGTTGATACCAGTGTGCTCGGCCAGATCATGCCGCTGGGACGGACCAGGTAACGTCTGGTGATACCGGCAAGGGAGTAGCCAAGTATTTGTGTGGAGAGGATAAGCAATACTTGGTACATGATGCCAAGGTCTTGCTTGTAGAACTTTACTTGCTCAACGATGACCTTGAATTGTCAGCATAGCATACTTGGCTGCATAGATGATACTTACATCTGTCGCGAAGGCAAAGCCGAAGGATACATTACTGCTGACATATACGCAACAGTGTTCCTTCTCATTCCAACGGCCTTGGCCTAGCCAGAGCCGTAACCGGCGTTTCCAAGTGGCTTTTGCCTGTGGAGGATGCGATGTTGTTTGAGAGCAACCATCGACAAAGGTTTCTTCAGGATCGTCGTGTCGTTTGAAGAGTTGGTCCCAGAGTAGACCGAGGGGGTGGACGAGTAGTAGTGCAATAATAGGAGTAAGGCTGACGCTAGGGTATCGTAGGGAAAAGAACAAGTTGGTTGAAGAACCGGCAATGGAAAACAGAATCGATAGGAACCACATGCGCGGGGTATCAATGGATAGGGAGAGGTCGTCGGTAGCAGCGACGGATGCCCTCACTTGAGCGTAGGGCGAATTATCGGACGGGCTACCCTTCATATCGTGTAAATCGTCGTCCTCGGAGGATTCATTATCGTCTAGCGTACTGCTCGATGAGGTTGAGTTGTCAAACAGTGGCGCGCCAGCGGTAGAAGGATCAAGACCGCTTGCGTTGAACCTAGCTTCAAAGTCCTGGCCACTAGAGGCTACACCGAGCGTCGTGCTGCTACGACTGGCGTCACCCGTCCTGCGTCGTGACTTGGTAGCGCCTGGAAGGATTGGCTCACTCCGTGTCGAATCATTTTGGTGGTGATCCGAAAGTAGTGAGGGTTCACTATGCGAAAGTCTGCTCTTTCCTTTTTTCTTTCTTGAGTTTTTAATCACGTTATTTTCATCAGACTCCTCTGGACTGGAGGAAAGAATAGGTAGGCCGCCATATGAACCTGAGGTTGGGGTCAGCACGTGTAGCGAATGAGGTTCTGTGCGCCGTGTGCATCGTTGCTCCTGTGCACCCGTCCAAGGCCGAGGGGCGACTGACGACCATGGCGCTTTACAAGGAAGAATAGTTTGCGTACCTGTTCCCTGCGCCGGGCTCGATCTCACCAAGAGAGGTACTCTTGACATTGCTGTCTTGACGGATCGTGTAGGAGTCTCGGGGCGACCAGCGGGCGAATCAAGATCGTCATCAGAAGGGGTTTCGGACGTGGCTATGTTCCTTGCTTTCTTTGCTTTGTCAGGCAGAGGCTGCAACTCGTAGCTGCCTGGCGAGACGGGAGGACGGTCGTGTCGCGTGTTTCCAGAAGGATGGGCAGGCGAGAGAGCAAGCGACGAAGATGACCCGCACCCGTCCTCGTTAGCCATATGTATGGGTGGGTGCCCGGGTGTGGCCAGGGGCGCGTGTACAAGTGCTCCGTTTGTCGCGCCAAAGCGGCCTCGCGCGACGTCGGAATCAGATGATCAGATAAAACCACCGGCAGCCATGTGTTGGGCCTCACGCTTTTCGATGATCTGATTAGATGGAAGCGCGGGAAGCGGTCCAGAATTAGGTCAATGATGGAATACTGCTTGAGTCATCCAATGGCGAGTGCAGTGTCTTCACGGTAAGCGGTTAGATCCGGGCGACGATGTGGAGTTCCCAGGAAAAAAGCCTCGCACGCTCCCGCGCGCGCGAGCCGCCTGCATACCATCACACGCCTGCATGCTTCAAAATCCCGGCACCCTTACAGACCAAGACTGATTGACATCTGCACGTCCGAGCGAACAGAGCCGCAGCGTTTGCATTCGGAGTTTTACATATTTCTACGGATTCCCAACGCTCAACGTGACGTCACCTCGTTCACGTCAACGTGACCGGGTATCCCCACGTGGTTTTCGGCTTTACGACCAGCGGTGAGGCCCTCAACCATCGCAATAGCGCCCTCGGTGTCGTCCTTGTTGTAGAGGAACAACCCCTGTAGCGCTGCAGTACTCACCGAGTCGATGAGGCCCAACTCCCTCACCTTAGCCATAAATCTCTGCTTCGCTTGCCCGCCTGCATCGAACTCTGCATAGAATCGGTCCCAAAGCTGCTCGATTTGGAACTCTGTTGCTTCACCGAGTCTTACCGTCATGTCCACGCGCCCAGGTCGGATGAGCGCTTCGTCTAGTCTTTCGACGTGGTTTGTAGTCAGGAAGATGATCCGCTCCTCAGCACTGGCAACACCGTCGAGAGCGTTGAGCAGCCCGGAGAAGGTGACCGAGGCGCTAGCAAATCCGTCTGCACCAGGCGTCTTACGGTTCATGAATGCGACGTCAACATCTTCCAGCAGCACTACAGTCCGTCGCGGGACTTTGGTCAGCAGATGGTTCAACCTATCGTCTGTGAGACCACGCTCGCTGACATTCAAAATGGCAATATTGAAGTCGAGATGCCCTGCAACAGCCTGGATGAAGGAGCTCTTTCCTGTGCCCGGCGGCCCATACAACAAGTAGCCACGCCTATATGGTATGCCGCGGTCTAGGTACCACTTGCGTGATGCGATGAAAGCCTCCATATCCTCTACAATGCGCTCCTTGACGCCGCGCTCAAGGACCACCGAATCGAGGGGCCGCTTCCGCTTTGCGTCGCCAAAGGGCTGCCACATGGTGCCCATGGAGTTGTATATGACAGTCTTGCCCTCCTGCGACTGCTGGTATATCTGGTGCGCCTCGGCGAAGATGTCTTCGAAGACGTCGCGGTGCGAGTAGAGGGTCGTGAGGTTGATCGTCTCGAAGGGTACGCCATCCTTGACGTTTAGGCTGTTGCGCTCTCGCTGCCTATCGACGAGGATGAAAGCATTCTTGTAGCGCAAGAAGTGCTTGCCCGGCCCCGGTACGAAGGAGAAGTGGGCGGCGTGCGAGGGCCCATCTTGCGGCGTGTACGTCTGCACCTGGAGGTGGTGCATGCGCGGGTCGATGCGATTGAGGACCTTGGAGAGGACGCCGTTGCGCACGAGTGGCCTGGTGCCGGCTTGCTGTGCGCGGTGGTAGTTGGTCATCCATTGGAGGATCCAGGGATAGGCGTCGTCATGGCGAGTTATTTCGAGATCGACGAGCATGCGGCGGCGCACAAACGCGGCGCCGTGTTGGAGTCCCTTCTGGCCCGTCCGCGCCGCAACCCCAAGCGCTGCGAGACCGAAGCCCTATGGCATCAGTGAGCACACGTCCAGCAAGCACGCAGTGGCCCCGGGGTGAATCATACGGCGGTGAAGAAGGGATTGTCGGTGATTTGCGACCAGGGCGAGCTGAGACCCGGGCTGCTATTGCCGGCAGCGATCTGCTTGGCCAGCTGGTGTTGAGGCGTGTTCGGTTCCATGAGCGGCGGAGAGGCGCGCCTGTCCAGAAATTTGATACGCCATGGACGCTAGCGGGGGATCAATGCCGCTACGCCGCGCCCATTCGTGCCTATCACCATGTCGCACGCAACCGATGGGTGTCGCACAGCGCTTGTTTGCAACGTGGAAGGTTGGTCGACGTATTTTCGTCACACCATCAGGGGGTTGTGCAAACGGCGCAGAAAAAGAAACATAGACGTTGATAATGCTGTATACATAGATGCACAGGGCTGCATAAGCAATCCGGGGTCGCGTCGCGGAAGGCCTTCCATGGCGCCTTCCCAGCCCTGTGGAGTTGTGGAGCGCTAGGGCGAGCTTGGACCTGCTGCCCGTCACTGATAACTACCATAGCCTGCCCAATTCACTGATCAACACCCCGAAAGCACGTTGCGAAGCCATCTTCGGCCCCGAGCACCGCGCTCTTCTTCACCTATAAGCCATGGCCACCGTAACCATAGGCAAATCCTATTTCGACGCTCTTCTACGCAAGTGAGTGCACACTATCATGACCTGGTTTATGCGCCGGCCTGTTTGCTGATTAAAGTTTTAGGGCTGAATTCGTCGGTATTCCCCAGGCAGTGGCTATGCATCTGACTCCGGCAGAGCTGACTCTTATCAACAGCATACTTCCAACCAGCCTGTCAGCTACGGCACTGATCTCTCTGACAATGTCACCATCAGCAAGGCAGAACATGAGCACATGGTACGTTTTACTGCACCCAACATCACTCCGAACTTTCAAACTTTGTCCACCACCCCTCCAGCTCACTCTGTTTTCTGTATTTATGTGCAAAAATGCTAACGATCCATTTGCCCACAGACCCAAGCAGTGCGAGAGTACCGTACGTACATCCCTGCTCCAGCGCAATACTATCTGTTTCTGACCGTGTCTAGACCTTCTCAAGAGCGCTCTATTCCGTGGAGGCCTGACGAACGAAACCTTGGATACACTGCTGCAGGGCGAGAATGGGGCTTCGAACGAAGAACCGTCTAGTTACGATTATGAATCGCAACACACACAGGCCAGATCGCAGGCTACTCCTGTAGCAGCGCCTGCATCAGCTCGTTACCCAAAAGGGTCCGACTATACCTCTGCCAGCCATGGACTCCACCCTAGACCTTCAGCATCGTTCCATCGAGTCGTCAGCTATGGGGAATCCGAGTCTTTCACCGGCGACCCAGACAGTCCACCCGACGAATATGACGATCTGAACCGCGGACCAGCCCAGCGTATACCACTCCACGATCAGCGCACTGTGCTAATCACCAACCTTTCCGAGCGTACCACACATAAGGACCTGGCCAGCATTGTCCGTGGCGGCAGACTGCTGGACATATTCCTCCGCAACGACAGATCTGCAACGGTATCTTTCATCGAAGGAGCTGCCGACTTTCTTGCTTATGCTAAGCGTAACGACATATATTTACACATGAAGAGGGTGAGATACGCACCTACCCCAAGGCATGAAAGAAGCTGACCATGCTAGCTTGAATTCCGTTGGAGCGACCGACAATTCCACGTACCACCGCACGTGTCCAACAAGATCACTGGCGGCGCTACGCGAAACCTTGTTGTCCGAGGCGTTGCAGGCAAGGTCACTACAGATCAGATCCGTGACCATCTCGACCACATCCACAACCTCATCGTGGTAGACGTCTACTTCAAAAATGGCGATGCGTACATCTCGACCAACTCTATCCACAACGCTCTGTTCGCCAGGACCTGCATGATGTCGCGTACAGTATACAAGGGCATGCGCATCGAGTACTATCCGGATGAATGCGCTGGACCGCTACCTCAGCCCAAAAAGGCCCACACTCCCGTCACTCGCATGCCTATGAAGCCTGCACCTTTGGTCAACCAGTATGCTCTTCTGGATACCGGGTCCGACGATGGGTCAGATTCTGAAGAGGAGTTGTACAGGACCAACGGTGTGCAAGTCGATGGTTACCATTGGGCTGACAGTGTAGTAGCATGAACATTGCCGATGGAGGTTCATCGCCTGTCAGAGCTCGACCCATTCCCTGGGGTCGACGAGGAGTTACAGTAACTTGATCCGGCCTTTCTGTTCTGTCAAGTTTCTTCGCGTTGCGGCACGTTTCAAAGCAAGCTAAGGAAAATTTCACCTACCCGGCTACATTCTTCATGCGAAGAGAGGGAAGCCACGAGTGAAGTCGTGGCGATCAGAATTACAACATGGGTATTTTTACGAGAAGAAGAAGGTCGTGTCGTGCAGCCCTCGACAGGTGTTGGTTGGAGTATGCTTCTTTTCCTATATAGATACCCCTCGGCTACTCTGGAATATGATTATCTTACTTACAACACGTTGATCCCTTCACGCTCCAAGGAGACGTCCATGATCAGCGTTTTGCCGGGATGGTAGACATGCTCACCCCCTGGCAGAAAGCTTGTCGCTTTTAGCGAGCACTAGTCTTGCATCGACGCGCATGCGTCAGCTATGTCATACGCCTTTGATTAGCCTCACTTCGTAGATCACAACTTCACCACAGATATCGTCCTGAATTAGTTGATCTATATCAACAAACTTCGTCGAATCAATATGGCGCCGACGATCAAAGTTGCTGTCATCCAACTCTACCCAGAGGTATCTCCTCTACCCCACATCATCTTGATTGCCCATCATGGTCGACCACATCTACAACCATCAGCATCAGTTTCTAACATTAGCTAGCCCCTACAACCAGAGCACAATTTCAACAAAGCCGTTTCATTCATCCGCTCAGCAGCAGCTCAGGGCGCCGAACTCGCTGTCCTACCCGAATACCACTTGACAAGCTGGAAACCAAACGATCCCGAGTTCCTGAAGTGCATCGAAGAATGCTCCGGCTACCTAGAGAAATACTGCTCCCTAGCCAAAGAATGTAACATCTGTAAGTATCACTCCAACCCTCATCATCCCCCAACCCCAAGACTAAGCTCCCCCCTCACTGCAGCCATCGTGCCCGGCACAATCGTAGAATCCCACAAAGAGAACTCTGCAGCGGAAG